AGGCCTGTGTCAGGGAGGTGTTTCAGAAGCTGATAATGGATTTCATCAGCTCCTGCCGCAGTATCGTGAGCTTGTCCTAGGGCAGTACGTAATTCATGGAGGGAAAACGTTTCGTTGTAATCCTCCCCATTATCAGAGTTAAAATTGACTGGTTTCTTTTCTTGTTGGGTTTGATATTTCTGGAACTGAGGGTTATAATTTGATGAGGAGGAGTGGTTTGCCAAAGTTTCGCCGAGTTTGTTTGCAATTTCAGATTTATTTGTTAGAAGGGAGTCACCATCTTTCAGGTGGTGAACTCCTGATTTTGACCCTTTGCCCTTGATCTTTTGAATCATGTTCCACACCTTGGACATGGGTGTGCGGGAGTTGATTTTGGACACATATTTCCTCCATGACCGGCGTTTAGTTTGTTTGAAGGTACGTTTTGCCCTGGCATTTGTCATTTTAACAGCATTCAGGTTATGCACTGTAGGATGTTGTCGGAAATATTTTTCCGCCTTCTTCCTATTTTTCCTAGCTTGTTTGCAGTTTGTATCAAACCATGGTTTGCGTATGTGCGGGTTTGCAGAGGACTTAGGAATACTTTTGTCTCCGATGGCATTTAGGACGTCTGAAAATAGTTCCATGGGGTCAGGAACATTCCTGAAGTTGTCCGGCTTAAGTTTTTCTGAACATAGGGTTTGGAATAAGGGCCAGTTGGCCTTAGTAAAATTCCATCTTGTTGATGGTGGTTCATCCGTGGGGTTGATAGGAGTAAGAATTGTTGGGAAGTGGTCGCTTCCACAAAGGTCGTCATGGACCGACCATTCAAACTCATTTAAAAGATTAGAATCTGTAAGTGATAGATCGAGAGCAGAGTATGATCCAGTGGCAGGATGGAGGTAGGTGTTTGATCCATCGTTGAAGATGCATACATCATTATTGGAGAGAAACTCTTCAAGGATCTTTCCCTTACTATTTGTATCATTACTCCCCCATAGGGGGTTATGGCCGTTGAAGTCGCCCATGATTATGCAGGGCTTTGGGAGTTGATCGTATAAGTTCTGAAGATCTGATAGGCGGACAGTTGAGGTGGGAGGAGATAGAGGGAACATAGTGTAAACCCTATGTTCAGAGTTATGCGGACAGCAACAGTTTGTAGGTTGGTGTTAAGTGGAACAGGGCTATGGAGGGTGCCCTGCCTCACCAGGATAGAAGTGCCTCCTGTAGCTTTTACACCGGGAGGAGAAAAGGAGTGGTAGGAACTGTACCGACGGATGTCAAATTTATCGGTCCTTTTTAGGTAGGTTTCTTGGAGACAAAACGCAGATGGTTTGAAGTCTTGAATCAATAACTGTAATTCATTATAATTATTCTTAAGTCCTCTGCAATTCCATTGGATAATGTTTTGTGGATTCATGGTGCTTCCACTGGTGACATGTCACGTGAACGTGAGAAAGCGTTTGATGAACTCCTATTGGTGTCTGGTGGAGATGGAGTTACCTCCATATCCAGAGGGCCAAAGGAGTTATGGACCTCGATGGGGACCTCTGAGGGAGAGGTGGCCTTTGGTTTTGTGTTTGGCGGTTGTTCGAGTTGCTTTAGTCTCTCTAGCCTCTTTTTTTCCCTTTTTCTGCGCGCAGTTTCTGTCTCTGGTTTTGGCATTTGTTCTGGTGTTTGTGATTCAGAAGTTTTGACTTTTGGCGTTAGAGATGGAGTGGCTGAGATAGGCTGAGTTGTGTTGAGTTCAGTTGGCTGAGAAGACGTGACCCATGTCAGGTCAGTCTGACATGAGATGGTTGCAGTAGTGATGGTAGGACGGGAGACAGCAGCAGAGTAGGTGATGGTTGAAGGGGCTGCAGTTAGACTTGCAACCCTCTTCTTTGCTTCGTGAAAGGAGATATTTTCTTTGTGTTTAATCTTCAGTATCTCGGATTCGCGTTTCCATACTGGGCAGAACTTGGAAGAGGCCATATGGTTACCACCACAGTTTGTGCACTTCACTTCCTTAGTACAGTCGTTGCCCTCGTGCTTGTCACCACAGCGGTAACAGACAGCAGAGGAACGACAGGACTTGGATCCATGTCCAAACTTTTGGCAGTTGTAGCACCGGAGTGGATTGGGGACATACACCTCCACACCAATGCTACAATAACCAGCTCTAATCGAGTCAGGAATGTTTGCTCGCGCGAACGTGAAGAGATAGGTGTTCGTTGGTTGAACAACACCATCCTTTTTGAAGGTAAATCGTTTGACGGCTGTGACGGATTGCTGAGAGAGTTCCTTGACAATTTGTTCTTCAGTCATGTCAGACAGGCATCGAGCTCTGTCCCGTACAATGCCTCTACACGAATTAAGGGTTTTGTGTGCTGAGACAGCGACCTTGATATTTACAAATTCTTGTATTTTGAGAAGATTTAGAGATTGGTGTTTCCGGGTACATTCTATCAGGAGAGAGCCAGATCGGAGCTTTGTGACATTGGCAACCTCTCCGCAGATACCAGCGATACCTTTGGAGATTGCAAAAAGGGTTCAATTGCAAAGGTTGCTTGTCACATGCCTCAATAATCAGGAAGCGTGGCCAGTAGTCAGGTCGGGGGGGCGTACTCTCGTCAGACGAGGAATTGTCGGTATCCATGTGTCGTCGTTTTGAACCGGGGTATTGGGAAGCCATGTCGTAAGTAATGTGGTTCGGCATCCCCCTCTCCCCACCCACCGTGGAGTGTCAACAAGGACGATCTTATATTGCAGCGGATCTCCAAGCTGCAAAGACCAGGGATAAGGGGATGTTATACTCCAGCGAATTTGACATGAAATGCTGTAGCTGCCTACCAGATTAAAGGTCAGGATGGTTCTGTCCATGACAATCAATTGGAGACGTACAGAAATCGGAGGTCAGCATCACCAGATTGGCCCATGAGCCACCGCCTTCTGTGCATGGGTCTGCGAGGCTACGGATTGTGACTCGGCAGTAGAACAGTAATGAATTTAGATATCCCAACACGAGTTGAATTCGGCGTTCTGGTGCTTTTGACGATTGCATTGCTCGCGCTATATCAAGTGAGTATGTGTGCGATCGGAGTGCACAAACAGTTTCATTGTTAGGGCTGGTGCCCATTCGCTGTCGTGAGAAGTTTTATTGACAATGGAAATCTAGAAGTAAAGTTATATAAAAAGCAAACAAACATCAATATTATTTACCCGAGATCGTTAATACCACTTCAAATGCAAAATCTGTTGCCTTTATAACAAGAAATAGCAAACGAAAATTCAGTAAGATCAGTAAAATAGTTTTTGGTTTACTTTGTTGAAAACCCCTGACACCGGGATACACGTTCCTTGCTACAGAAACCTCCAAGCTGAGATGATAGGCATGGTTCATACAAGTTGAACATTATTCAACAGATTTGGTTCATACAAGTTGAACATTATTCAACAGATTGTGTTTGTGGATTGTGAAAATTAATGTTTTAGTTGATGTTTGTTTTGGAGGAACAATTATAGGTAGTATTGTGGGGGACTTTTCACTTTTACCATTCAATATAAGTGGATATTTTATTGTAAACTGTAATGTTGTCTGCGTGAAATAGAATTTGTGATGTTTCATTCCCCAGGTTGTCCATGTTTGTGAGTATACCCAAATTGACAGATGGTTTCAATCCAGCTTCAGCAAATGTGTGTTTGCATTGAACATTTCTTGCCGGACATCCCCATGAATTCCATCAGCCTCCTGTCAGGTTCGCTGTACACCTTGTTTTTCAAGGGGGAGCACTACGAAGATCTCTCTGGGTCAACATACTGTCTTTTGATTTCACGATTCCCTGCACTAGTACCACAAATCACAAGGGACTGAGGTGTTGATGAGAGTGACTGTGGTGTACAGGATCACTGAAATCATCTTGGCTGTTGTTTGCACAGGATGCAATGGTATATGAATGATTCCAGTATGTCAGTCAAGCCTTGTCATCAGTAAGTGTTGTCACCGTGTAGTCATGGACGTTTGGTGGACAGTGTGATCTCAGGTGTTGCACCCATCACCTCTAAGGAGGCTTTGTGAACAGAAAAAGGGGAGTCAAACTGCTATGTATACAGCTCTTGAACCCCGGATCTTCCTTGTAATGCACAACTGGGCCAATGTTATTGGTCTTTCTGGAATTGGGTTGGTTGGTGATCTCTTGTACCTTGGTTTTCAGCATTGTTAGCAGTTACTTTTTCCATTGCCCATTCAAAGTACTAACAAATTCAGTGGTTGGATGGCAGTCGTCTGAGACCCCTTTGAAGAGGTCCCCCAAACTCTTTATATGTTCTCAGTCAAGTGTGAGGTCTGTCCCCTGGTTCGATTCTTGAAGTAAGTGAACCCATGAAGGAAGAGTTCTCCCCAGCATCTCATCGAGCTAAACATTTCTCAGCCATGTATGGTCATTGAAAAGAAAGATTTGTTCATAGAACACAGGAACATATCTAACACAACTATTAAACATTATTGATATAGATAATGTTAATGATATATCTGATCCTCATATAGTTTCCAATAGATGAAATTAACATACGATGCTATGCTATGTTATGTTGGAACATGTTACTTGTTAGCAGTAATAGGATAAACAACCACACTATTTTGTTGGAGTCCACTGTACATTTCTGATAATGACCTAATCATGAGACAGTTATAACACCAGTTTTCGAAGGAACAAAGATACAAGCTGGAATTACCCGACATAAAGGAATTGTTGACTTTTTCAACATGTTAGTAATGTCCCTTGTCATTTGAATTTTGTTGATATTGTTTTAGTTGCTCTGAATCTTTGTACATAGATCTAAACGTAACATCGACATGTCACTGTCAATGTCATCAACACATTAGTAGATTCAACATGACACGTAAGGTATATTCCCAGCTGTAAGTGTCTAATTTCAGATGGACCAGGAACCAGTGTCAGTATAACTCCCATCTTTCCACACATTAGAAGAAGGAACATAGCACGTAGGGTATATTCCTAGCTGTAAGTGTCTCATTTCAGATGCACCAGGAACCAGTGTCAGTATAACTCCATCCTCCCCACACACGGTAGTGGAAGGAACAGGACCTGTATCTATTAGATGCACTGCAGACTGTAATCCTTCTTGTGGACTCCAACTGAGGAAGGGGACTACTGATGTAGGTCAAGGTCAAGTCACATTGGACAAGGTCAACCGAGCCCAAGCTAGAGACTATACGTGTGAAGCTGAGAATGTGATAGGAAATGCCAGTAAACAGTTTACCCTCGTTGTTCACTGTAAGTATGGACCCGTGAAGATCCGGGGTAGAATGGGTCTTCAGCAACCCTTGTGCTTGCCATAAAAAAGGCGACTATCTTGTCGTAAGAGGCGACTAACGGGATCGGGTGGTCAGTTTCGCTACCTTGGTTGACAAATGTCATCGGTTCCCAATTGCGCAGATCGATGCTCATGCTGTTGATCACTGGATTGTCTGGTCCAGACTCGATTATTTACAGACCACCGCGATATAGCTGGAATATTGCTGAGTGCGGCGTAAAACTAAACTCACTCACTCACTCACTGTAAGTATGACATCAGTTGTTTTATGATTGTGTCGTACTGACTATATAACTACTTCCAAAACCATCAAATTCATACAACGATGTGAAAGGAAATTGTTAACTGCTTTGGGAAAAATAACGATTTATGTTTGGAGACCTTGACCAAAAATATAATTTCTTCACTTTTCTCTATCCCCATTTTGTCCATATATTATGCCCCAGGATAAATTTGGTTTATTTCATTGAAGATAACTAACCATTGTTTTCATTTGCTAGGGTGTTGCTTAAAAACTGCAAGGTACCATATATATCATAGACTGCACATCACAGGCATAGTTTTCAATACTACTCTCCAACCACTCTCCAACCAGATATCAGGTTAATACCAGATGTGTTGAAAGGGCTTCTTGTACTAGTGATTCCAGGCTTCATGTGTGTGCGTCCTCCTTATATATCCAACTAGAGTTATGGTTACTGTGAAGCTTGTTTTACATGGCAGGATCGCTGTTGTTCCATCTCCAAATCTGCTGCTCCTATGTCTCTGTGCACAACATGAGACACGTGAGAAACAAAGTTCTCTATAAGAACCATAAAGCCTCATACTGCACTCAGTTGATGACGATTCCTACATTATGGTCAAGAAGCCAAAACCCCAGAATGCAAGGATTAGAAATTTGGTTGACATCAACAAACACATGCCTAGCTAAAATGAAATTGTTTCAAAACCATTTTGTGAAATCTTTCGTGATGTTTCATTCACGTGAAATTGTATAGTTATGAAACGTTTTTTCAACATTTTCTGTAAACATTTGTTTTTAACTTTTCAACGATGTTTTGAGAATGAACCAGGATTTGGAAGAGCTCAGTTAACAATTAGTTGTTGTTCTGCTTACTAAATAACTGTTAATACAATGCATATGACTGTGACAAATCATCAAAAACTGTCACTGTTACAGCATTTTTTTAGACCCAATTAAGAGTTAGGATTAGTTCGTGGGAACTCTCCCACCATGCTGGAATGATGTGGTCCGGCGTTTCTGTCCATTGATATGGGGTGGGAAGCCAATGTTTTTTTATCAAAATGAGACACAACAACTTGATCAAGAATGTCAGTGATGTGATGTGATGTGATGTGATGTGATGATGTGATATTTCTCCGTACAGTCACCAATGTCAGTTTACAATCATGGAGGACACAGCAAGGAACAGTAGGATCCACGTGCCTCGGCACATAATCAGTCTTAATGCACCTCCAAACTCTCAGATGACCTTCATACATGAAACAGGGACCTGCTTTTGTCTTACAAATGGATCCGTCTCCAGGACCAAAGATTTAGACACCAATGCAGACTTTACCTTTGATGTAAATGAGTTACATCAAGAATTTGACACCTAACCTGGACCTTAAACTAGGAACCTTGAGATGGCTATGCACAAACGTCTGTGGATTCAGAGGAGTGCTCGTTGAGAACACTGATGCAACAGGCCAGAGCACAACTCGGAAACCGTTCAAAATATCTCAACAAAACTTGTTAGACATAAATGAATAACAGAACCTAAATGGGTGATTTTGCCATTTACATATTTTGGGTATTTTTATTTTCTTGCGATTAACATGGAAACAATTTAGACAAGCTATTAGACATGAATGACGATAACTTATATTGAAACTTAAACTGTTGATTCAAGACATGTGTCCAGAACGTTTAACAGAAGACCTTCCTGTACGTCTTATCATGACCTGATATAGGTTCGTCTGAAAGTTATGTGTATCCAAGTAGAGACTCGAAACTGTAATCGATTATTTGTTCAGATAATAGTATATTTTTCGAAGAGTGGGGAGTTATTCCCCTTGGAAGCTAGACTAAAATACCCAATGCTTATCTCTTTGCAAAACTTATACCTTTTCCATGATTTTTTCAAGCAAATATTAGGTTTCTTCCAGTGCCTATGTCAATCTATGTAGACGTTAGTACATAGATACCATTCTATGTAGATGTTTGCACATGAGTGTGTTTTTGGATTGTAAATGTCCTGTATTAGGAATAAGTATTGTCAATATGCACACTCTGTTTTATGTTTCATTGGAAACTATAGGAGCAGTGACATTTGTTTGATGAAATTATGTCTACCATGGCTTGTTTGAACACCTTTTCTTCCGAAAGCAAAGAATGTTATCTTTCATCTTACTAAATGCTCAAGGTCACTATTACACAGTATGGTGTGACAGTATGACTTAACTTGTATGAGCCCTGTGGTTGGGAGGTTGAATCCAGTTAAAATGATGTTGAATGAAAACAAAATGCTGATGGAGCCATGTCTATATTTGCAGTAATCCAGACAGTTTTTCTCGGAGAATTACGAATGAAACACGCTGTTCCTTTATATAGCTGTTTATCACAATGATTGTGTCTAGTGTAATGATATTATCAAAATGGAAGTTATCTTTTGCAAAACACTCCAACATTTTAAGGGTGTCTTATGTGTTATAAAAGCTGGTGTTTTTCATTTCAATAGTCCATTGCGTTTTTGTTTCAGATCCTGTCAATATAAGTATGTTTACGGTCAACTCGCTCAGTCGTTCAGTGACAGTTAACGAATTGGATCAAGCTACCTTGACCTGCCAGGTTGACAGTAATCCCAAATCAGTCATCAGGTTACTGAATGGAACTGAAGAGCTGACAAGGGCAGATAACTCCCTGACAGCAACATACAGACTGGAATCAGTGGAATGTAGACAAAGAGGGAACTACTCCTGTACTGCCACCAACAACATCGGGGCACCTGTCACCACAAAGGTGGAGTTGCTTATCAAATGTAGGTTTTATCTTTACATAACCATTACCATAATCATGTATTTGTGACTGAAGTATCACTATAACTGAAATTCAGATTTTAACAGAATAGAAGATGTATTGTTAGTATTATAAACAATGATGACTATGGAACAGCAAGATTTATGGATGTCAACTTCTTTATTGTGAATAACACGACATTTCGGAGTCTATGCTTGCTCCTTCATCAGGGGAATGGTAGGGAGTACAAGGGGGATATATATACAGACATGAGACACTACAAAGACACTATCACCTCAGCCGAGCTTTTTTCAGCGACAACTGGAAAGACACAACCAGACAGCACATCTCGAGGTGACCATGACTTAGAGCAAACCTTGCTGACTTCATCAGACCTAAGTCATGGTGGAAATTTCAGCCAGCCGTACACCAGCCGTGATGATCGCACCAGGCATAGGGGTGATTGATATCATATGGACCATGTGGGTAACTTAGTCTTAGATGCAGCAGAAGGAGCTCCTCAAAGCTCCTTTGATTGGTCAGCACAAGTTATTGTGCATGGGTTTCTACTCTTGCAACCTGATTTGCTGGTGATGACCAGAGTGATGGTGGCAATATCAGCAGCCACATAGCTTATACAGCTGATGATCAGTTAAGCTAGAGGTTATAGGTAACACAGCTACATGGTTACCTGGATATTATGGCCAAAGCGGTATTTGACTCAGTTTGCAAAGAGACTTTTTTGCTTACACACCTAGTGTAACCTTGATATCACCTTCACAAACCCAAACTTCCAGCAACGATGATAGCGATCTACAAACTCAGAGACAAGGAAGCTGTTGTCGACCTGAACCCAGCAGATCTGGTTATTCTCTCTGGTATGTTTTGGTACAAAAGAAGCGTTTAGACATCTCACATTATCTGAGGGATTTCTTCAGAAATTAGGAGTTCCTGGTGCTTCCAGAAAAAGCAGCCCAGAAATGTACAAAAGTATGGGCTGTTTTCACCACTCTAGAATCTCAACATATGGATGTTGGGAACACTTACATCTGTGCAGGCTCTCACATTCAGAAGCATTGCTGATACTTTCAGAACTTAGTGAATCAGCATCGAGCCCAACAGCTAGACTCCGCCATAACACCTACAGACCTAGTGTTCAGGGACCTTGCCTGGAGGATGAACCCTGACAATGTCACACAAGGGAAGCTAATCAGGATGCCATCACAGCCCGAGGAGCTCATCTATAAGACATGACAGCATCAGGTTGCTGGGAGCTATAAAGACTAGTCCAAATCAGCATACTGAGATGTGAGCAGTAGTTTTAGCTATCAGGAACTGGGCTGCAATACTCAAGGACTCATCACTACTAGTTGCTATGGACAACACCACAGCATTGCCTATATCAGATTGGGAGGCACTTACTCTCAAGAGCTTATGAATCATATGTGTTGGTGGAGAGTCTACAGCAACATAGTGGCCATAGGGAAAATCAACATAGGGAAAGTCAACATTCATTCAGGTGTACTACCATGCCCTGAAAAGATTTTGACAACAGAATGAAGACTTCATTCAGAACACACCTTCAAGCAGATACCAATGAAATGGGAACAACCTCACATAGATCTGTTCAACCATTTGCAAACCTATTTAAGTATGGTCCCAGGTCCTTGTGCTCTATGCAGTGGATGCAATGTCAATATTATGGGAGGGAATGATTGCCTTAGTGTTTCCACGACAGATCTTGTTCCGCAAGTTGTGGCCAAGACCAGGAACATCTGATGGTAATGTACCTGGTGAGTGACATCAGCATGGATGACACGATCATTGTTCTCAGACCTACTGTCCTTACTGACAGATCTCTAATTATGTCTTTCTCAACAATTCTAAGACCGCAGAAATCAGACAAGTTCCATCACAAACTACAACTATACCTACACGGATGGAAACTATCGAATAACATCTTTTGTTGCTAGATTTTAGGAGGAGTCAGGAACTGCCAATGGATCTATAACTATCCTTATGATTGCGAAATTTCTAATACATCTTAGGCACTTTTACACCACTTGTACGAGCCCTTGGAAAAGCAAGCATCTTTCTTTCAGTAAATCGTCATCTAGGATTCTAGATTCTGTCATAACACCTTCAGACCAAGTGTTCAGGGATGAACCCCGAAAACATCATAGAAAGGTTCCAGATCGCCGTATCTTCACTGATACCTCACTTGCAGGCTGGGAGAGCTCCTCTGAAGACATGACTGCACCAGGTTGTTGATGGATCTTACAAGAGAACTGGAGGATATCCCCAAGCAGCAAATAACTATGAAATAGGATTGGTTAGTGTTGTTTTTAGCACTTTTACACTATTTATTAGTGCAGAATTCATCATGGCTCATTTACAGAATTACCTGTGCTCTAATACAACTTAAAAATTACTTACATCTTCAGCGCTTTTACACCATTCATTCAAACCCATGAACAAAGCTTGGAAGACTGCATTCCTGATGGCCCTGACTACAGCCTCAAGGGTGTCAGAGGTACATGCACGGGATGTCAGGTCCATTACATTGAAGAGAATCGCTCTTGAGTCACAGACATTCTTGCAGGTAAATCAGAAGTCTGCTTTGTGATCTCAAGGACAAGTGTTTGCTATCCCTTTTCTGGCTTCTACGCTAGACAGGGGTTTGCTGGACATATTTATGCTCAGGAAGACCTCTAAACGATATCTTAACATGACAGAAACTTTTAAACCGAGAACGTCACAGGTATGGATATCATTAGGGCTTCAACGAGTCCATTTTTTTGGACTCGAGTACTCGAGGGATGAGAGTCGACTCGGACCCGAGTACTCGAAATTCATACCTTTCAAGCAAACAATAGCGTAAATTGCATGACGTGTTCCGATCACACAAGTGAACACTTACTTCTTTCAGACTTCATATCGTCATGTGACTAACTTTTCCTACTGGTCAGAATTAGTATTTGGATGTTTACTTGACAAATGTTTTTTTTCTTCGTACTTCTTGTACTGCCTGCAGAACGCAGTGATATACCGCTCTTTTCACTATCCAGATCAAGATACGCCCATACATTTGATTTTTTTATCTTTCTCCAATTGCCGCATGTCTGTCCGTTAAAATACTGTATAGTTAGTATCTCCGGAACTATGGATGGTACAGAGTTGAAATTTTGCACAAAGCATTCCCTTGACTGTGCCTAATGATCCCGTAAAAATCAAGTCATTTGGATTTCAACTTCTGTTCCCATGGCAACCTCAAAATGAAAAACTTCAATCCAAGATGGCGGCCAAACGGCTAGAGATATCGCTCTGGGACTACCAGACAAAAATGATCTTCTCAGCTTTGACCTACATTCAACAGCAAAATCAGTCCAAAAACTTCATCGTATTTACAGATTCATTATCCTGCCTTCAAGCACTTCTAAATGTGACTTCAAGTCACCCAATCATCCTGGACATATTAGAACTGTACAACGACCTTTCTACTGGCCAATATGACATCATCCTCTGCTGGTTGCCGGGTCACGTCGGCATAGCAGGTAACACTAAGGCCGATGCTGCAGCAAAAGCAGCTCTCGAAAAGCCCCTATCTCCACTGCTAATCCCATACAGTGACTTCAAACCCACTATCAAAAGCTATACTCGGGACCTGATGCAAAAAAGGTGGGACACTCAAGTAGGAAGAAACAAACTCCATGAATTGAAGCCAACAATCGGTTATACCTACTTGGGTTGTCAGTCAAGACGCGATGAGGTAATTTTGCGACGATGTCGTATTGGCCACAGTCGATTTACACATGACTATCTGCTGAAAACGGATGGGGATGGACCCCCCATGTGTGTCTCTTGCGATGAGGTGTTCACCATCAAGCATATTCTGCTTGAATGCGTGGACTTGTCGCCTGCAAGGGACTCACATTATGAAGCAACAAACCTAAAAGATCTCTTCTCACGCGTGAGCGCCCATCTGATACTGAACTACCTGAGGGAAGTTGATCTGTATCATAAATTGTAACTGTGAAATGTAACAACCATAAATTGTAACTATGAAATGTAACAAACCGCCTGCCTTTAAATTTGATGCTATGACTTTTTTCTGCTTTTGAATGACAATGTAATCAATAAATGTCTTTGAAACAAAACTCATTCTGAGTATGTACTTACAATATTTACTAATGCAAACTTGTTCTCGTCACTATATGGCTGGAAAAATGCCGATGTGACGTAAAGCTCAACTCAACTCAACTGTAACAACTAATACCATGCAGCCACACCGTGTGAGGAGTAAACTATTTAATCTAGCTGTTAATAATTATCAGATGGGTTAAAGAATTCAGGGTACATAGAACTGAGTATGTCAGTGTCAATGGCTACCAATCTTCTTTTCTCTCAACCTCTACTGGAGCTCCACAGGACTGTGTCCCTCATCCGTTCTCTTCGTTTCGTATACCAATGACTGTTACTTGTCAATAAATGACTTGTTTACTGTGAAATTTCCAGATGACGCCACTGTTACTGGCCTAATTTCTGATTCTGAACATTATTATCGTCAAGGCATTGACAAAACCGTAATGACAGTTTTTTTATCAAACCTTTATTCAAAGTGTGTTGACCTACAATTTTCTATGTTGGTATGGGGATCTGTCTCATCGCAACAAAAACAAAGTTTTCAAAATTGATAATACTGCTTGCAAAATTTCTGGAGTGTCTTTCGAGTATATTCCCTTTATCTATGAACGCCAGATTGTCAAAAAGGCAGCTAAAATTAGATTTGATAGTTGATATATTTGATCTCACCATTTTGAACTACTTCCTTGTGGACGCTGCTGTGGATTCCCTCCTTCAAAACAAACAGAGCTAGACAGTCTTTCATACCATCAAGTATTCGTGAATGAAACAAATATTTTGAATCACACCATCATGTGATTAGAACTATAAATATTCAGCCTCTTTACCTATGTGGTTAATTGAATTATATCATGTCAGATTTATTTATAAATAGCATTCGTTTTGAGCATGTAATTATTGTGTATATTTTTGTGAACTGTGTATACATTCATTTTGAGACAGTTTGGATGTATAAGAATTTCCTCCGGGATAATAAAGTTATATCTTATCTTAATATTAGACGTTAACGGCCGCTCGTGCTCGTGCTTTGGCAGACAGTCTGTCAACGTCAAATAATTCGAGTTATCTCCCCTTTTCGAGTCCTCGAGTCCTTGAAAATGGTACAATGAAGAGGATGTTTATACAATAGGTGTGATGTTTATACAATAGATTGGGCTTGGTGGAGGAGTGGATCATAAGCTGATGGAATGAAGTATCCTTGGTCACGGTTGATGGTGGGCTAATGGTGTTTGATGTGAATGGCTTCGGTGAGCTTGCGTTTAGTGAAGTCCGTTGGGTTGTTGGCGAGAATGGTGAAGTCGGACCACTCTATTTGGTGATTGGGGTTAGCTTTGATGTGGTCAGAGATAGCTGATTTGGTGTCGGAGTTGGTGTTGATGGGTCGGGATGTTTCACCTATGTAGCTTTGTCCACAATCACAGTTTATTTTATAAATAACACATTTCGGGTTGTTGTTGTTGACGGTGGGATGTTTTCTTCCGTTGGCATGGAGGAGATTGTTGAGGCTGGAGGACGCTGAGAAGGTTGTGTCTATGCCTGCTTGTTGTTTCAGGAGTCGGCTGATTTGATGTGATGGTTTACCTATGTAGGGAATGGATATCTTGATGGGGGCTGATTCTGGCTTAGATCTTTTGGCAGGAGGTGAAAGCGTTGCTTCGATGGTTCTGTTGACTATTTCAGATGGGTAGTGGTTGCGTTCTACAAAGACTTTCCTTAGGTGTTCAATTTCTTCTTGTAGGTTTGTTGAGCAGATGTTTTTGGCTCTTCTGGTCAATGTAGAGATGAATCCGGTCTTGACTTTAGGGGGGTGGTTGGAGTTGTAGTGGATGTATTGATCCGTATGGGTAGGTTTTCTGTACACAGCTCCTCCACTTCATGTATCACTCTTGCTTGACAACGGTACAAGAATCTGTATCGAAACGTCACACTCACGAAATAAAGACGTTGTTATCCATAAAAATTTGTTCCAGGTTGATTGTTGTGATCCTCGTTTGCTGCAGAGCCTCAAATGGTAGCTAAGGGCTAAACTTAGAAGGTATTCATATCCAATCAGTGATAACAATTGTCTTCATGGAGTGGATGAGATACAGAGAGGATATGGCATAATCATGACGTCATCCAAAGTACCGTTAACAGGAAAGGAAGTCATCAGTGACATCATTAACGTTACTGTTAGCAGAAGTAATGTCATCAGAACTCATTGTGTCATCATCTGAGGTGTCATTAACCAAGAGCTACATCATAGTCCACCAAATCATTAAGTGCAGCATTTGTGAGATAAGTCAGTGCGGAATTTAGCAATCAAGTGTTTGAAGGATGTATTCATGAGATTTCGGAATTCTTATGAACAATGATACCACTTTGTAGAGGTAGTACAGTGGCAAAGTGTCTGTGGGGTAATGTACACCTGTTTCTATGGTGTCCCCAACTATGTACGCAGTCTATGGACTGACTGAGTATGCTGGTTGTGTTCTGCACAGTGGCATTAGCTGTGTCGTGATGGGCAAGGTTGTGGCTTGAATTTCATAGGGTTTCATCTGCACAAGAAGGTAGTTTCTTCCTGGATTTGGACTTGTTTCTCATACTAGTGTATGCAAATTTATTCGTTTGTAGCCCCATGATAAGATACCGAAGTATGTGGATACCATAAGTAATGCAATAGAATTTAACGAGTAATCAGACCAGTGCCCGACTGATATAGTCAGCCATCCTAAGCACATACTTGGTGATCAGTACATGGCTAAACTTGTATGAACATACCCAGTTATGACAGGATGCTATCATGCTGGCTGTATCGAAAATGTCATTTTTGACTATGACTTTAAAAAACTTCATCTCTCACATTAGACACTTTCTGTTGTTTTCATTATCATTATTAGTTTGATATGCAACAAGTGTGTAGTATGATACAGGGCACTTTCCGATGTTTTATGTAGCTATGACCTTTGTCTGATGAGTAACCCTTTACTGTATTTTCAGCATGGAGGCTGAAATGCAAGAGTGATCTCAGCTATGATTTTGTTTCCTCAGGTTCTCCTCGACTAGATGAAACAGTGCCCAAGCAACTCAAGTACGCCTCCAGGCAGGGTGAAAACTTGACTGTGTCTGTGCCAGTCCTGGCCTATCCCCTTCCTACATTCACCTGGAGTAGATCCATCAGCACCAGCCAGGACCTCACTGGTTCCTCCAGCCCTGTCTCAGACATCTCAGTCACTGCCAGACTACACCTTACTAACATCCAGGAACAGGACTTCGGGGACTACAGTCTTACAGTGGATAATGGTGTGGGCGGGTCAGTGACATACACAGTCAACATTGTGACTACAGGTGAGAGTTGATATAAAAAGTACACTGTATAATTGTCTAGCAATACTCCATCACTTCACCTTATTAACCTCTAACAGCAGGACTTTGGGGACTACAGTCTTACAGTGGACAATGGTGTGGGCGGGTCAGTCACATACACAGTCAACATTGTGACTACAGGTGAGAGTTGATATAAAAAGTACACTGTATAATTGTCTAGCAATACTCCATCACTTCACCTTATTAACCTCTTACAGCAGGACTTTGGGGACTACAGTCTTACAGTGGACAATGATGTTTGGGGGTCAGTGACATACACAGTCAACATTGTGCCTACAGATGAGAGCAGATATCGAAAGTACATCATGTAATTGTCTTGCTATACTCCAAGAAGACATCTGACTAATGTCCAGCAACGGCACTTCAAGGGACTACAGTCTTACACGGGACAGTGGTGTAGATGGGTTTAGGGCATGGACACTCACCATTGTATCTGACGATAAGTGTCACACATTGTAGATGATGGTGAAGGTAATAATGAGACAATTGTGTGTGACATACACACTGAAAATTGTGACTATAGGTGAGAGTTGATATAAAAAGTACACCGTATAGTTGTCTATCAATACTCCAAGACAACACATTATAATCACTGTCACTCACTGTAGACGATGGTGAAGGTAAGACAATCAGCATAGTGGCTTAAACTGATTGTGGGTTTAGCTGACATTGCTGTCACTGTGTATATGTAACTGTATATTACAGATAATCCAACCACTGACAAATGTGATGTTTCATTATCATTACTCACAAAGAAGACATCAGACGGCACGGTATCCTGAATATTCGCCTTGCAGTTAGACATTCAAACAGGGCAGAATAAAAGGGTGCCTTCTGATCATATCTTGGTCTTGCCATGAAACCAAAGACAAGCTAAATTAGAGCGTCTGAGCAAAGACAGTTGAAATTCCTAGCAGCCTCCAAAATTGCTCACAAACACAACAATACATTGTCACTGTCACCCCTCTGCATGTGTATTTAGCTTTGTACACGTTGAACATAATAATGATGTAAACATGTTCTTCTAATGCCTCAGAACGCGGATGGATTGTAAACAAAGTTCAGTTCAGTCCAGATTAAACACAACAATGTGATGCATTAAAACACTTCACGACTATTCTTAACTTCCGGTCATCTCCAAACATGGTGGGAACTTCCCATGTCAGCTGTGTGCATCGGATGTCCTACACAACCCTCTGAAAACTAACAAAATACTTTAATAATTATTTCAGATAATGTCATGCGACATTAATGTCAATGTTAACTGGTTTCCATTCCTTTTATTTCTCGGTTCATTCATTCATCGGGGCGGTGGGGTAGTCTAGTAGTAAAAGCGTTGGCTCGTCACGCCGAAGACCCGGGTTCGAATCCCCACATGGATGCAATGAGTGAAGCCCATTTCTGGTGTCCCCCTACCCTGATATTGCTGGAATATTGCTAAAAGCGGCGTAAAACCAAACTCACTCAGTCAGTCAGTCATTCATCATTGATGTATCAAACTTGCTATGTTTTTCCCTGTCAAATATGTGATTTATCATCCCTTCGTTTGGTTTTTAAATTTGATATTTCTGTTCGTAGCCATACACATGCATATGGTGATTCAAACATCATTTCATACATCACCCCATTTTATCTCTGCCAGGCAGATAAGATTGCAACTTTCAATAGAATGTGGCATAAGATTCATTATGTTAGGGTCACAACAAATATCCAGCTTTGTTGGCAGTGGTGCTCTCAGAAAAGGATATTACACGAAGTGATTTCTACCTGTAAGTTTTTAAGTTTGACTTAACTTAACGGTTGATGTTTATGTTGCTATGCTTATTTGCAATAAATTGTCAGTTGACTTGTTTTTAATAAAATCGTATTGCTCTTTATTACTGGTTCATTAATTAATTTAACAGAACTGCAAAAAAACAAAAGTGTAGTGTCAATTCATCTTCTGTTTACAGGACCACCAAGCACCCCGACAAACATCAGTGTCTCCCCAGAAGGCCCCTTCTCCCTACATGTTTCCTGGAAGGAGGAGTTCAATGGCGGAGCTACTCAGACATTCACTGTAGAGTACAGCACAGACGAGAAGGACTGGAAGACAGCAGGGAGTCATACAGAGACAGAAAGTGGGAATTATATGACATCATCCATCAATGATCTCAACTCTGACACACTGTACTATGTGAGGGTTGTCGCCAGGAACCAGTTTGGAAGCAGCAGCTACACTGAACATGCGACTGGACTCACGGAGAAGAAAGTTATGGGTACGTCTCATTTTACACTGAACCCATCATCTCAGGATACGTAGGTAAAGCTGTTTGTTGCTTCTGTTTTAGATATGGTTATTACTAAAGAGGCAATGAGTTTTCTTATTGAATTGAAAGGATCTTTATTTGTTAATATTCAATATCGGTGTGACGTTTAGAATCTAGACCTGTTTGCTTCCAGACTTTGTTGTATGAGTGACCAGTGTTTGTGGCTTGGAAAGACTCTGTTATGAAGTCATAATACTGTCATACACTTTGCTACTTACTTTCTCGTTCAGCCCGTGTAACTATTTACGTATTGCTTCGTATACCTTGACCCTTTATAAACACAACTGATATATTCATCATGATCACATCGAGAACACTGGAGACAGGTGCTCGCCACCTCGTCACACGTCATGTGGGGAGACTAAATATAGAAGTGTTCAATATATTGAACACTGGAATAACTGGTATAACTGGAATATTGCTTAGTGTGAATAAAAGAATTATTCACTCATTTTGCCATAACTAAATCTCGTGATAATTCTTTTAATTAATGATATTATGACTTTGTTTCTCGGCAAGAAAAAGCCAGCAGGTATAATCGCCCCATTTAGGTCACATAAGGATAAGTACACAAATATAGAAGGACATGTAAGTACTACTTCAAGTCACTTCAAAGAGACATGGCATCATCCCCTTCTATATACTTGTTATCGTTTTGAAAATATAAGTGATAGATCGTGTAAATCAATTTTAAACAATGACAACGCTAAAAACATTTCCAAATTTGGAAACTTTTGAGAAACAATTGAGCGAGAACACGAGTTATATACGTTTTCATATCCTTGGTACATATGTGTGCAATAATCTTTCCAAAGTAATCGGTAGCATTTTACAACTAATTTATTTTCCTAGTGCTTTTGAATTCACATCCAATATCAATTGGCTCTGCCTCGTTATTTGCTATTTATTATTCGTTATTATGCCCCATAACAGTCTGCATTTCAGCTGGTCATTTAGAAACTACTGCTAATGTGCTAAATCCAGACCAGCTTTTTAACTATTATCGAAGATGTAAGAACACCCTCTGTAAACTATCCGTAAATGTTTCTATTACCAGTAATCAACTTCTCTAGTAGGTGTATAGAACACATTCTAAAACCATTGAAAGACAACATATTCGAGACATACATTCTGTAAGTGGAGGGTGCTAAGTGGAGAGCAGAACATGCCAACCTTTTCATGAACACCTGGTGTTATCACCGATTTCCCAAACTCCTTGCATATATTTCTGACGACTGTGTTTGTTTTACTTATTTGGATCTCATTCTGTATTCCTTGTGGCAATGTGTTGTGGCATTGTTTATACCTGGGATATTTCTGTTTAAGCCCCTGCAGCCCCTTCACAAGCTGGATTAATAGCTGGAGTGACAGTCGGTGTGATATTGGTCGTCGGCATTGTGGTCATCGTTGTCATCATGGCCAGGAAAGGATATAGATGCATATTGCAGAAACCAGGTAGGTGTACTGTATGCAGAAAAACACCAAAAATGTATTTTCAAATGTATTAATGAAGGCATGTTGCCTCATCACAAGTTTGTCAAAATTTAAGGTACAGTATAATGCAGCAACTTACTGGGACACAAGAACAAACATGTAAACAGGGTTCATGTGTTAACTTGTTCCCTGATAAAGAAATTATCAAAATTGCACTGACAAGTTTGGCATCACAGTGTCTTTGTTATCTCCACAGATTCAACAGACACACAGAATGCGTAAGTACCAGTGTTCGCGGAAGGAAAAAAGTTCTGCGTCCCCCAAACGCATAAGCCCTGGAATGTTGCGTGTTGATGCATTGCAGTTGCATGCCCGAGCGAGGTCTGTGCGGGGTCTGGCTGCACATACACGCACACACACACGCACACACACACACTAGCACCACACCACCCACCCCGCACAATTTTGAAATTTCCTTGCATTTCAGAGCATTTAATCAGCATTCGAAAGTCAAAAGTGTTATTTAATTATTTTTCCTTATCCTGACTCATGATCTTTTGCTTATCTCCCTTTCCCTTGCGAATGGTAGTGGAACGCTTGATTCCTTTGTAATTCCCGAAGCGGACGTAAAAATACACTCACCCACGAGTTACCTCCCTTTCCCCGCGCAAACAGTCATGTGACCAGCCTTACAAGTCACTCTCTCCCCTTTTCGCCCAAGCGGATGATTGGGCGAGCACTGAAGTCCCGTATACTGCAGATATCCTTTATATTCAGATCCTATTTATCAAAATTACTCTGTGTATGGTATTTAGCTATAACTATCATGTATTAATTGTATAAAATATGAAGAAATTATTGTAATTTGTGACACATTTTCATCGTAATGTAACTTATTTACATTTCATGAAATCTTGCATTGTTTGCAGGCACCGGCTCTCAGTGGCTGATCCTCACCCCCCAATGCCCATCGTGCATTAAGCCATGTTCTTCCACCTCACGTTGTATATATTGCAGTGATTTATCAAATTTGCAATTTAATCAATATTTGTCTTATATCTGTAGACGTGCCATGGATCGGGTGAGGAAGCCATCACAAGTCACGGTACTGCAGAAATACATAATTCTGGTGATATGTACGGTGATTGGTGATTGAGTACGTTGCAGGGGCAGTCGTCTGTTACGGGGGTCGAAAAAGAGGTCTGCTACGACGGAGTTGATACCCTCTCAGAGTAAGAAAAAGACTACTGCTTCATCCACAACGCAGAAAAGGGCATTTATAACTAGGTCAACTTCGAAATCAACACGACCTAGCAAGTCAACTCATCAGAGGTTGTTTAATGAGGAGATAATCCTACCCCACGAGGCAGATGTGTTTGATGAACCACCGTTACTTCTGCCTGAAGTACCTACTAGATCGGCGACGCAGTCGACCTCCACGACTGTTAGACCGTCTCCTGCAACTACAACAGCGGGCCAGCTTCTCAATGCAGCACACAACACATCACCGTTCACGATCATCAACTCCGAATCAGTTCCAGTCAACGCAGAACTGCTATCAAGGCGACTTTATAAGGCAATTTACTATTCAAATGATGGTCATGATGGAACGACGTTTTGATGAGGAAGCGAAGGTACGGCAGAACTCTCATCAACTGACAACGTTCGCAAACCCTCAGACCTAGTGAACCTAATACGCCTCACAGATCTACATCTGCAGACAATGTTGGCGAACGAATGCAGACGAGCAAGCAGACAAGCTACAAGAAGCCATCAACTCGCTTCAAACCAAGAATGCGGTAGAAAGAATGGATCAACATCATCTCACGCCAGGCTTCTACTCCCCAATTTTCTTAGTACCCAAGAAGACTTCCAAAGAGAAATTCAGGTTGATTTACAATATGCGCAAAATCAACCAATACTATCTACTCAAACCGGAAAGGTTCAGAATGGTCCACCTACCTTAACTCAGACTACTAATTCGTCAAGCAGACTATATGGCCAGCATAGACCTCCAGGGAGCATGTCTCCACACACCCATACATCTGGAATCAAGAAAATATCTACGATTCCTATTCAGAGGTCAGCACTTCCAATGGAACGTCCTATCATTTGGAATATTGTCTGCTTCGTGGTTATTCACACAAATAACCAAGCCCATAGTCGCCTACCTACATCACCGAGGTCTACACAATGCTTTTTACCTGGACGATGGCTTACAGGTTCATCAAAGTGCCAATCAACTCAGATATCAGCTGAACTTCACAATTAAGTTGCTCACGCAACTAGGATGGCTAGTGAACCTGATGAAACAAGATCTGCAATTCCTGGGGATAAGATTCATCACAACACAAAATCGAATTGTGACCCCAGAAGATCGTTGGGTCAAGATACAAGCCATGATTCCTCAAGCAGTCATCTCTCCATTAACTCTACAGTGGCATTCTCCATCACTCAGCAAGGATCAACAAGATCTCCAAGCCTACTCCAGCTAACATTCCAGTTGTTCAACATCACATAGGATGCAAACATCTGGATAAGGGCGTGTCACATACCGGGAGCCAAGAACATCCTAGCAGACTCTCTTTCCTGACCTCTTCATCCATCACCCACGGAATGGATGCTCCATCCAGAAGCGTTCCAGCTCATTATAAGGGAAATAGGATCCCCATGCATAGACCTCTTCGCCACGAGGTTCAACAGATGTTTGTTTCACCAGTACCAGACCCCCAAGCCTGGGCAACAGATGCACTGAGCATATCATTGGAAGGACTAAACCTTTACGTGTTTCCACCTCCGATCTTACTACCGAAAGTACTGTTGAAGATCAAACAGACACAAGCGCTACGACTGACTTTGGTCGCGCCCTATTGGCCAGCGAGACTCTGGTTCCTAGCTCTAATACAAGATCTCGGAAGTCCAACCCTCAAACTACCAGAATGACCGAACCTACTCAGACATCAGCACACCAAACAAGTCCACAGGAATCCAACACTATTCCATCTACACGTGTGCGACGTATCAAAACTTGCCTGAAGAACAGAGGATACTTTGCCAGAGCAGCGAAAACACTAACCTTAGCGTTGCACAGATCTACTCGCAATTTGTAAGACGACAAACGGCAGAAATTTGAACAATATGCAAGGCGGAAGGGCTTCACAGCTATGAAAGCTTCTCATCCTCAATTGGCAGAATATCTATGTCACCTTAGATATAGAAGACATCTGAAAAGTTCGACATTATCCACATATCTGGTAGCCATCAGCACAGTCGTCACTATTAAGTCATGCATCAAATTGACGAAAGTACTAGGGAGGTAACTCGTGGGTAAGTTTATCTTTACGTCCACTTCGGGAACTACGAAGGATTCAAGTGTTCCACTACCATTCACAAGGGAAAGAGAGATAAGCAAAAGATCATGAGTCAAGATAAGGAAAAATAATTGAATAACACTTTTGACTTTCGAATGCTGATTAAATGCTCTGAAATGCAAGGAAATTTCAAAATTGTACGGGGTGGGTAGTGTGATGTTAGTGTTAGTGTGTGCGTGTGCGTGTATGTGCAACCAGACGCCGTACAGACGTAAAGATCATGAGACAGGATAAGTATAAAATATCAAGTTTACTTTAAAAAATGCATTTTTGTTTCCTTTGGGAAAATATGTTTTTCGATTATCTGGTGTGTTTCACAAACCATTGGTTCACATGGCCACAAGTCATCGTCATTATTTTGAAGAAGGGTCAACTCAACTTTCACCAATTCAATGACTTTGACAGTTTCATAAATAGTTTGCCGTTTTCAGTTATGTACATTAAATTATTCCAGCAAGGTATGACGGGCAAAGTTAATGCCATCCCATCACTACACCTCTGGATTGTATCGTTTACATATGAGTATGAGATCATCCTATTATCTAACATTTTTTATCATTCCTTTTCAAATTCAAAACGAGAAGCCTCACAGATTGTGGCCATTTTTCATTATGGGGGGAAAAAGTGGGTTAAAAAACGAATTTTCGAACATGTTTTTTCTTAACTCAATTTTAAAAGTCCAAATACTATATTGCGAGAACAGATGAAATTTGATTAGAAAGAATATATCATTAGATTTACTTACATGTATAATGTATGTGTTTGGTTGACTTTGGATCACCATTAAAAACCATAGCAAAATCAATGCTAACATGTTTGATTTCAACATCAGTGTTAAAGTAGCCATTTCATCAATCTGTGGCAGGTTACTCATTCATGTCTTGAGTGTAATTGTATCTAGCTCGACTGAATCAGAAGATCAATTACAGTGTCCTCCACATTTTCACAGTACAGTGCACTTCAGAGCTGCTTTCACGCACATGGACCGATTTGAACATTTTTCTACATATGCATTTCGGCAACCCCTTGCAGCTCTTTGATGCCTTCGGGAGAGTTGTCCATAGAGGTCCAAGCTCTCCCCTGGAGCGTCATTGACAGCCCCAATCCAAAGGGCTGGGTAACTCCTGTGATTTCATCAGGGATTGCCCCCGAGCTAAGTCCCCTGATATACAGCTATCTTTATATGCTGGATCAAAGGTGTGACAGTGTGTCATCCTTTGGTAGAATTGAAAAGAAGGCCTCGTGGAATGTATTTTCCTGAAATAACAGGCACCTTTATTTCCCTCGCTTGTCCACCACTTGAAATAACGAATCAGCTTGAGAGATTTGTTGTGCTGCTGTATGACAGAGCAAGCAACCTCATGAAAGTGAATGAAGCAAGAACGTATTTGCTCGCCATGAAGGGGAGCACATTGGACAATATACCCCAATAGAATCAGCTTTGATACAACATATAAAGAGAGCTGTATATTTGGGGGGTGACTTTCACCTGTTCTCTCAATATTCTTGATACATAATTTATTAGGATTTAAAATTGAGTTAAGATCACAATTTTTGGAAAAGTCATTTGTAACAAGAAGTGCACAATTTGATCACTTATTCACTGGGATATCTGTGGAAGCGACCATAAAAATCATGACACTATTTGGGTAAGATTTCAGGGACCTTATGTGATTTATTAACGGGTTGTTCTGTCACAGTGACATTGCTACATTCTCTGTCATTTTTTTTTTCTAGCCAACAGGACTTACAAAAGTCAATAAAGTTTGGAGCAATGACATAGAAATTCCTTACAGAAACTGCAGTAATAACAACAAACGTTACGGTAACAGGGAGATGTGGCACACAACACGTGACTCGAAGATGTAATATCCGATCCGTGAATAACTATATATGGTGTGTGTGTGTCACATATTTATACCATACAATACACGGTTTGGAGATTACATTTACGAGTCACGTGTTGTGTGCCACACCTCCCTGTTACCGTAACGTATATATATATATGGTCATACACACTTCGGAGTTATGCACGCTATCTGGCGAGGTTGCTATATATAAACCAAGGAATTTCCAAGTTTCGGTAACTTCACCATGTCAAAACGGACGATGTCACCTTTCAGTATCATGAGAATTAAGGAAGTAATTTAGAAATGTAACTACTCAGAAAACAAAATGATTTGCGTGCAGAACACGCAAGTAGCAAAATATCGTGCGTGAAATGAAGTTTCATTTGTGTGAAACATGCAGGTTTTTGCGGCAACCCGAACACTGAGTACAGATGTACTCGTGAATGTTAACATCTAAAAACAGTCTTCCCAATCAGTTAGATCTCTTCCTCTTTAGATACATCCCCAAATACCTGCGTTCGATTCCCAACATTGTTATTTATGTGTATGCATGTGTGAATTCCATGCCCTTCTGACAGTGTTGTCGTTTCTGCTGCAGGTCACAGATCCCCGAAAATAGAGGAGAAAACGTGAATTTCCAAGGTATGTCAATATTCAAAGTACATGTAAGATGTATATAAAAGTACAAGCATGTATGATAAAATGAAAAGGGTCCAATGACTTGCATCACTGTTGTTAAATAATGCCTAATTCATGTCTGCACTTGTCTGTTTTTCTTCAATACAGATGTTAACCAGTACTCTGGGCTGCAAGATAGCGCGGATGACAAACAGACTTACACAGAACTGAAGAATTATGAAAATACAGAATTCCATCCTTCTAAAGGTATCCAACCGAACTTTTATTCAACCCTGGATCCCTAAACAGGATGTCGACAGTTTTCATTGTGATCATACCAGCAAACCAATCAAATAGTTCATGCATGGAGTATCATTCTTTTATTATCATACCCTCGAAATCTTGAGTTCTCAACAGTCATATTTATTTTCAGACACTGTCAACACCTATGAAGATATCAACCAGACCTCAAGACATGCTTCTGAAGACGGCAAGCCCGCCATGTATGTGAATGCTGATATCAAAGGCAAAGGTATGACTGATGTGGAAGTTAACTGGAGCACTATAAAACAATGCATAGCATGAAAATATTCAAGTTGGAATACAGGAAGGAATAGTCCCCTTCTTCCCCAGCTCCACGTTTTAGGCAAGGACCGATTGTGGATAAAAGTAATTCAAGAAGCATTTTTTAGTAGGATTTGGTATCCAGGCTATTTATCTATTTAAAAAGGCTTATCACGAACGAATAGGATACCAAGCTGAAAAAAGTGTTTTTGACCCTCAAAATTGAAAAACAAAATGGCCGCCAAAATCGCCCAATATAGTAGTAGGTGTGCACAGTATTTTCGCCTATGACTGTATCTCTATTTTTTTAATTTGGGAAACTTGACCTTTTATAACTTTTAAAGAATGCTGATCATTAATAAATAGGGTTCCAAGCTGAAAAATGTTTTTGAGACCTCAAATTTGACAAACAGAATGGCCACCATAGTCGCTGCAAGTAGTCGTAGATGTGCATGGTATGTCATCACCTGTGACTATATCTATTTTCTAATTTTTTTAAACCTGACCTTTTTAGACATTAAAGGGGGCTGATCACGAAAAAATAGAATACCAACTGAAATATATTGACTATAAAAACTCAAATTTGAAATACAAAATGGCCTCAAATAGCTGATTTTGTGCTGATTACATCATTGTTACCTCAACGGTAATGAGATAGTGAGGAAAAATATAGTATTTAAAGTTATCTCAATACACAACTACATATTTTTCATGAACAGTTTTAATCATTTCGAACAAAAACAATACGGATAATCAATAAAACAAACAATTCTAAACACAATATATCAGCTGAGCCATACCAACATCATAACAATAATGTTATTCACACTTGATTCTCATATACATAAGAATTCCAATGTCCCATGTTATGCTTCATAATTTGGTCAACACAACCATAAACAAGGTTCAATTTAACATATAATAATATTCAAAGATTCATTGAATAAGCATCTTTGTGACTTGCCACACGCAGCAGTACAAGGGAGATTTGATCTCTTGCATTTGCAGTGCATTGTTTGACATGAGCCTGCAATAAGTGCAAAATAGGCTTCAGGAATGGGATCACAAGACATCAGCTGGGGTTGTTGACCTTTGCATGCTCGTGTCCAACCCATCTCTGTGAATTCAGGAAGTGATGGAATAGCTTCCCAGGCTTTCCTCCAGATCATGATTTGGTAATGGACACGCTGGATATGGTAGCATGTTGGTGGTATCAACTCAGGTTTAATAATAATAAGAATAATCCACTTGTAACGCGCTGAGTCCATGCACAGGACATGCTCTAAGCGCACATATCCGAGAGGAGATGAGAGAAGTTACACAGAGAAGGCAAGTCTGAACGGGAAGGTTTTGGGATAGGGCTTAAATGATGACAATGATTCACAGTCTTTCAGGTACTGGGGCAGAGAGTTCCAGGCATTAGTGGCTTATTGTGCAAATGTTCTCTCACCATAGTGGGATGGTTTTACCATGGGAACATGGAGCCGGGTTTTGGTTTGGGAACGTAGAGTTCTTGCTGATGTGTAGGCTTTAATCAGATCAGATGTATAGGGAGGAGCCTGACTGGACCGGGGACTAGAAGACAAGACAAAGGAGCTTGTAGCTGATACGTTGTTCCACAGGGAGCAAGTGATGGCTGTATAGAACAGGAGTGATATGCTCTGATTTCCTAGTCAGTGTAACAATCCATGCTGCAGTATTTTGAAGTTGTAATTTGTTAAGATGCTGTTTAGTTGCCACAGACAGAAGGGAATTGCAACAGTCGAGCCGTGACACAATTAGCGACAGGACAAATGTGGCAGTAGAGTTCTTTGTCAGGCACTTACGAACATGACCAATAGTCCCAAGGACAAGAAAGCGGGTTTTGGTAAGATTATTGACATGAGAGTCAAGCGAAAGATCCGAGTTGAGTGTGACCCCAAGAGTCTTAACCCCAGACAACAGATGAACAAAGTGGAATTCGCGTGGTCCTGCCTCAGCCTTTCTATGCTGAGAACCAAGAGAAGACATTCATTCTCTGACTCGTTCAGCTTAAGCTTGTTTTGAAACATTCAAGGTTTTATATCCTCACAGCAGCCAGCTACCTGTGAAACTGCATCGTGAGCATCTGTAGCATTGGGAGAGAAAACTTTGTTCAGCTGTGTGTCGTCTGCATACTGCTGTCGGCAGACAGAGACATGTCTATTACTGATCCCAGGTTTGGATGGTTTGTCAAACAAAACCCTACACACAGTGTTCACACTTTGAACATTATGAACACCATATTCTTTGCACACAAATTCTTCAGCGGATCTGGTCTTGTCTTGGTTCAGCTTTTCAGCACCCAAATCCTTTAGGAGAAGACGATAGTTGAGAAAGACCTTCTTGGTATGATCACAGCCCGTAAGTGCATGAAATGGCAACAATGATGCAACAGAATGTACTGGCAGTTTCTCGTAACTTTACCAACTGGAATGTACTTTCTTTTATCAGCAGTCCCTGTCAACAACCAGATGTTGACAGCTTTAAGAAATGGAAAGTGTGCCAAGAGAAACAGGCATGTGAGCTGAACTGACTTTTGACATGACATGTGGAATATCTAAAGTTTTGATGGTTTCCATGTGTAAAAATTCACATCAGGGGGTGGTCCACGCTGCCATCCTGCTACTTGTGTTGCATAGAAGTTGTTTTTTCCATCCAAGATTTCATCCAAGATATCAATATTGTCTGCTGTGAAGAAAACAAATCTGTTTGGTATCAGGCTTAGTGGTATCAGAGAACCAGCGTCTGATTCATTGTTATCAACGTTGTCATGAACGTGTTAAGTCGCATGACCTGCTTGTAACTTGTCCTGCTTTGTGAAACACCTGAACAAGATCTTTGGATCTCGTTACTGGATGAAGTCAACAGACAAATGTTTAAGGAACATGTAGACACTGTCCAGTATGCAATTGATGGCACTTTGTTCATCAATCTCAACACGAGTATGAGATGGTGTATCTATCATAATGAAACTCAGAGTTCAAGCATGCCATTGGTGGGTCTGTGTTACAGTCATGAGCATTTTTGGTTTTTGACGTTTTTCTTTTAAAGGAACTAAGACAAGGTAAATGATATTTAGCCTCGGCAGCAATAAGGTCACATATACCTGAAAGTTTACAATTCAAGTCCTGATCAAATCGAGAAGCTTCTGGAATATCAGAGCTGGTGTTTAATGTCAACACCTAATAGAGAATGCTGGTGTTGTTCCAAGTTAACTTCTTGACAAAACATACATTTCTTCCAGTCAATAGGATTTGAACATGAGGGTTTCACTTACATTTTGTAACTGAAAATGCAGTATATTATTCATTCTATTGTTTTTATTTGCCATTTATTGAAAGTAGATACAATATTTAAAAAAGTGTCAATGTAAAAGGAGGAATGCTTTCAAGTTTCCAAAATTTAAAAAAATAGAGATACTGTCACATGCGAAAATACTGTGCACACCAACTACTATTTTAGGCGATTTTGGACGCCATTTTGTTTTTCAATTTTGAGGGTCAAAAACACTTTTTTTCAGCTTGGTATCTTATTCTTTTCGTGATCAGCACCCTTTAAATAAGCTAAAATAGCCTTGATACCAAATCCTACTAAAAAATGCTTCAACATCATTTATTTGAGCCTTTTTCCAGAATCGGGTCTAGTCTATTGGATTAAGTGGTTACAATGCATTGTTAGCCATCATAGCATGACAATGACCAATCTGTCGCTCGTTTGTCTGACTCAAAATTTAAACGTTCTACTTCATAAATATTTGTGCATTGGATATTACCATACTGGGGGCAAGTGCTATATGAATATTGTAATGTTTCTGTTTCAGATTCGCCCTATGTGAACACCTGAAACCAATAACTGAATCATCATTATCTCTGACATCATAATGGGTGACTTTGAAGGTTACATACCAACTCAGTTGTGTCTCAACCTCTGCAACCTTCACCAAGAGGAACTTGCTGGTTTGCTGAAACCTAACCTTTTTGTATCATGGTCATTTGTGAGATACAATTGATTGGACACACTGAGGAGCGTAACAATAGTTGAGTTGAAGGGGGCAGTGCTTTAGACATATTCATAAAAAAACAAAGATGTACCATACTATAAGATGTAGTTCAGTAAATAGGTGTCACAGCGAGTGTACATGTTGACTGAGATAAATACTTTAGTAATGTAACAAGGACATCTGACAGACTTCGTTTAGCATACATGTAACTAAAGACGTAACTACAAATATGTTTAATTTTAAGAAAGTTATTTATACAAATAGTACACATAGCTTGAAAATACCAAGTCTTTACTTTCTCATGCTTATGATAAAAAATGCCGACTGAACAGTTTCCTGAAGTTACTTAGATTTCTACATGTATATATACCCACATTTATATTCACCCTTCTGTTATTTTAATGTTGTAGAATATATGTAAATAACTGTAAAAACGGGTCCAGGGGCCTTCATACATCAGTAAATAATTGGTTTATTGAATAAATATGATGAAATACGTAAGTTAACCCTTTCCTCGCTGATACTTCAACTTTTAAATGCAAATTTTGCATTTTATTATATATTCTAGATACTTGAATATGCATTCACTGTCAATCTCTACAGTGATATTGTTATAGGGACTAATTGAGGACAGCCATCGTCCAAATATTTAAAAAGTCCAAAACTATGTACTCAAGACATGTGAGACTTTATTGTAATATGTATTTGACACTAAGCTATATTTTCAATCTCTACTGTACATCCTTATCACTACCGCATTGTAAATTGACTTGTCAGCCCATATATTATTATATTAGACATTTATAACCCTCATTGGTAATCCCCCTTGGCCGTGTCTGCCATCACATCACCTGGTCAAGGAAGTGCTATTGTTTATCTGTCTGTCCATTGATGAGTCGTCGCCTGTCCATTGTTGTCAAAAACTGTATATATATTTGGTATGCGCACATCTAGAAAGGGTAGGAGTGCGAGTTCGGTATTTGGACTGTCTGTTGGGATGACCACGAGCAGGATAATGCCGCTCGTAGGAAACGCCCTGGGGTTGAGCAGGTACACCGCTCACCTCGCTCATGTCTTGTGTATTTGCTTGACATGTACTAAAGACGTTTAAACTCAACTATGCCTTCGTCATCATCAACGCACACTTCATCTTAATTCTGCTTGACTGCGTGGACTTATCGCCTGCAAGGGACTCACATTATGAAGCAACAAACCTAAAAGATCTCTTCTCACGCGTGAGCGCCCATCTGATACTGAACTACCTGAGGGAAGTTGATCTGTATCATAAATTGTAACTGTGAAATGTAACAACCATAAATTGTAACTATGAAATGAAACAAACCGCCTGCCTTTAAATTTGATGCTATGACTTTTTCTGCTTTTGAATGACAATGTAATCAATAAATGTCTTTGAAACAAAACTCATTCCGAGTATGTACTTACAATATTTACTAATGCAAACTTGTTCTCGTCACTATATGGCTGGAAAAATGCCGAAGTGACGTAAAGCTCAACTCAACTCAACTCAACTTAATTATGAGCTAATTCCCCAGTTGACGCGTATCCACGCGTTGACAGTTTGGTGGAGAATCCGAGTAGAGTAACTTTTGAGCTTACTCCCGATCCTGAAACCTCGCTATGTGCCTTCCATTAACATTGTGTATCATGGATGAATCCCCAAGTTCTACGTCTACTTGAAGAGATTACACGCGTCTTGATCAACATGGACCTCAATGCGGCCATCTTGAATGGAGCAGCATACAGCAACCACCTGATGGACAACCTACAATTTAAGGATGAAGCACCCAGATACCACAGTCCTAGCAAGTACACGCGTCTCCCCCACAGAGATCTGATCACAGCCATCATTATGGAGACCCTGTATTCATACAGAAAATACCCCAAGGACATCTTCAAGATGGACATTTTGTACAACAGAACTCATCAGGACTTACTTATCTGTGTGTACTTAAATGGACTCAGTTCAGGATATACAATGTGTTATTGTTGATAAGTGCAACCCGGTATGTTCAATCACAAGTCAGTACATCACTACTTTCTTATGCCTGTACCATCATGTATTTTTGCATGTGAACCATGTGTTCCAAATTACTTCTGTAATATGAAGTCAGAATAGGGATATTCTTGGGCCCAGCCACCCACAGACGCACATGTATGTTATGTGTCAGTATTAAGAAGACATTGACAGCAAAGTTAATATTCAGCATTTTAGAGTTTTGAAGTCAGAGTAGGATTATTGTTATTTTTTCTCATTGGGCATAGCACCCACACTGTATGGGCAAGCTCTGTCACAGACATGGGAAGAGCACCCATCGTACTTAAACGGGCAACAGTACCCACAAGTACCGTCTGAGTCGCGCGGTAAAGTTAGACTCCTGGTTTCAAATTTCTTAATGTGAAATATTTGCTGAGATGTTTGATGTGTACTTTTTATGACGCCAATTATTGTCATTATTGGGTACTGAGCCTCACCTCCCGATTTCAAAGATATTTTCCAAAGTAGTAAATACCTGGATGTGAAACGTACATTACAAAGATCATTTGATTATTTTTCTAATAAGTCAGACTGGCAAGATGATCACATTTATACCGTAATTGCATAGATATATTTGTTGCACGAGATTTCAGGGCCTTTAAGAATTGTTCCTTTGTTATTATTTACCAATTTGAACTGTTGGTATTTATATAGCTTCACTCCTATCAGTTTGGGCTCAGTTTATTTAAGCTTGGGGTCCAAGCTTTACGGAGCAGAGGGAAGTTGTTATAGGGACTAATTCAGGACAGCCATCGTCCAAATATTTAAAAAGTCCAAAACTATGTACCCAAGACATGTGAGACTTTATTGTAATATGTATTTGACACTAAGCTGTATTTTCAATCACTACTGTACATCCTTATCACTACCGCATTGTAAATTGACTTGTCAGCCCATTAATTATTGTATAAGACATTTATAACCTTCATTGGTAATCCCCCTTGGCCGTGTCTGCCATCACATCAACTGGTCAAGGAAGTGCTATTGTTTATCTGTCTGTCCATTGATGAGTCGTCGCCTGTCCATTGTTGTCAAAAACTGTGTATATATTTAGTATGCTCACACCTAGAAAGGGTAGGAGTGCGAGTGCGGTATTTGAGCTGTCTGTTGGGACGACCACGAGCAGGATAATGCCGCTCGTAGGAAACGCCCTGGGGCTGAGCAGGTACACCGCTCACCTCGCTCATGTCTTGTGTATTTGCTTGACATGTACTAAAGACATTTGAACTCAACTATGCCTTCGTCATCATCAACGCACACTTCATCTTAATTATGAGCTAATTCCCCAGTTGATGCGTATCCACGCGTTGACAATATTAATCATACTTGTAGAATAGTTTTTATGATACATGCTCTGGTCGTTAAATTGACTCTAAATAACAGCAGCATTTGTTTGAAGGTGCAAACTTTTGATTACGCATGTGTCTGAGAAAACTTGTGACCTACATATTGGTACATGTACCTCCTGTATACATGAGATAGAGAGATAGGAGAGAAAATGTGATTTCCACCTCTTTCAAGAGTGAGACTAACCAGACTTCAGTGAATCAGCAGCATATTCTATCGACTACGTACATGTCCTTGAAAAGCAAAGGAAACATTTACACATTTTATTGCTGAAGTTGATTTCTGTAGAGGTAAACTGTCAGCAAAACTATGACTGCCGCATGAGGATCATTTAGGGCTCGATGCCTAAAGGGCAGGAGACGTATTAAAGTCGTCCGATTTATTATTACTTCACAGATTAAGATAGAGGGTTCGGGTGGTTAACTCAAGACCCTTGCCCCGCATTTCTGTAAAAAGGAACAGAAAATTCAATGATATGAATATATTCGTCTGTTTTATCAAACAGGGCAACATCAGGGTTGTTAGGGGTTGTTCCAAAGAAGTTTAAAAGCATTAGAAAGAAGTATAAAAGAATTACAGTTGGCAGATTAAGATGAAAATGCAGCAAGGAGGGTTTGTGTGATCCTGGCACAGTCAGGCTGGTAAGACCAGGGCCCTAGCCCCCTCTACAGGTTGCCCAGGTAGCTAATGGGACTGTTCCCAGGAAACACTGCCTCGTCAAACCCACCAAGAACTTTCCGGAGGCTATGAGGCTCTCCAACACTGCAGTCTTTTGCAATACCCAGAGTGTCAGAAGGGCTGTACTCCCGGTGGAGAACGCGGGGACTCTCCTGGTGTGCACCAAGAGTTCAGGAGGTACCAAATCATGGGCACTGAAAACAATGAGGAGCCTGACGACAGTGTTTTGGGGATCCAAATGAGACATTTCAAAGGCAGGATCCGCATATATGTTCCCAATCACGTTGCTGTCAAAAGTGACATAAACATATTAATTATATTTGAATAATTTCACTTGCCTTATCAAAAAGGACAAGATGAGATTGTTAGCTGGAGTTCTCCTGAGGCTGTATATGGGCCTTTTCCTAAGAAGCTTAAAAGCATAATTTTCCATGACGCCCTAGAGATGTTCAGAATGCTATAGATGTGATCCCACCAAAGAGTAAGTGTTCCAAACAATTGGAACAACGTGTTCTTGTCCTTTGAGATCATAATGGCACCAAATGATATTGTCAGATCATTTGGTTATTAGTGGTCTATTATCTGCTTTTAATTTATCCATCCAGAGTGAATTTTCATCTCCCAGCACACTATCAATAGCCCAGCGGATAAGTGATCAAATTGTGCACTTTGTGACAAGCATGAAATTTGACATCATTGTAGCTTATACCCGTCTTATTGAATAAAGATCGAAAGGCCTCGCAAATGTTTAATATTTTTACATAATTTGTGTGGGGTGGGGGGGGGAGATGTTTGTGAAAAAAACCCTCATTTATTCTACTATTTTCGTTATGACTACTTTTTGTAAAATCTCAAATTCTCATAAATCATACATCAAATTGTAGGAAATTCGTAGCTTATCAGTTTTATCTATATATGTCTATATCGACTACATCAGTAAAGCAAGGTTGGGATCATCCCATCATCTAACATATGTTTGTCATTTCTTTGCAAATTCAATACAAGAAGCCTCGCAGATTTTGGCCATTTTTCATTTTGGGAGGAAAAAGTGAATTTTCACAAAAGTCTTATTTTAACTCAATTTTAAATCCTCAAAAAATATGCATCTAGTACATTGTGAGAACGAATGAAGTTGATTTGAAGGAATATATCAGTAGATCTACTTACATGTATAATGTACGAGCTTGATTGGCTATGGATCACCTATAAAAAACATATTAACGCTAACATGTTTCATTTCAACATCAGTGTCAAAGTAGATATCTCATCAGTCTGTGGAAAGCTACTCAATCAATGTGTAATTGTATCTAACTTGACTGAATCAGAAAAGTGCAGTGCACTTAAGAGCTGCTTTGATGCACTTGGACCGGTGTGAACATTTTGATGCATTTCGGCAATTCCTGGCAGCCCTTTCATGCCATCAGAAGAGTTGTCCATAGAGGTCCAAGCTCTCCCCTAGAGAGTTATTGTCAGCCCCTATCCAGATAATAATAAATGTAGGAGATATTCTGGGATGACAATGTTTGGGAACCAAGTAGTTATATGATATGTCTATGGATTTGGAAAAGATTATTCCATTCACAGTGTGTTATTTCACACAAGCTATGGTCGGGGTAAAATTTACAATGAAACATGTCAGTTTCAGTTTTTCGAAACCCTTGTCAAAGTGCTTCTCAATATGGAGATGGGATTCATAAAGCTGGAGGTGTTGATTCCAAATCGGTACAACAGATGCAACTTATCTGCGCGACGTCCAAGGCAGCGCCGGGTCATTCGTCGCTGGGCACAGAGCGTGGGAATGAGCGTTGTGATGTCGTTTCATACAGAACGATCGTAGTGTAGGTGGATTAGTGATGGCGTGGGATGTATGGGGTCACTGTGACTGGAAGAACGCATTTACATGACATTAACGGACGGTCATTGGTGACAAAATCTTTGAGTTAGATGTGGAGCTTATTGCGCACCGACATGGACGTCGCATAGAGGGCTCGTATTGTTACTGAGTACCTGCAATAGGAGAACACCACCTTACATGACCAGCACCTAGTCCAGACTTGTCATCCATCGAACAAATCTGGCTTGGACGGCTCAACAGACTGTGCAAACACCGACAACAGCCACTCACCACGCTTAGACAACGTTAAGAAGAATGGGATGAAAATAAACCAAGTTGACACTGGCCGTTTGATTGGAGTATGCCTCGTCGAATCCTGGTTTGTCTTGAGAACGGGTGGATCCATACGATATTAATGTGAGCTTGACTTTTCATTGTAAATGACGTGATGGGTAGTAGAGTGCTATGACCAATCATGAAACAAACGCTATGGCCATCTGACTTTCAGAGACTAAAGCAAATCTCAGTCAGATGTCTCTGTCACAGTGTTATACAAAACTGTACAAAATATTAGTAGCTGAGACAAATGATGAATATACCCCCCGCTTATTAATAGCATGCTATTTTTACAGTGACAACGTTTACCAAGCCTCGTATCATTGGTGTCTGTCGTACTGTTTCATGACTTCAAACCTAACACTAAATTTCTTCCTGACTATCATGTCAAGCCTGACATATCTCGTGATATATTACCTCGCCAGTGTGCATAAATTGACATGCTTGATCAACATTCAGTTGACACGAATCGGGGTAGTAGTTGAGTTGAGTTGGGCTTTACGTCACATCGGCATTATTCCAGCCATATAGTGACGAGAACAAGTCTGCATTAATATACATTGTAAGTAGAAAGTGGTTTCGTTTCAAAGATACACAGTCATTACATTGTCATTTTGGGACAGAGAATGTCAAAGCACTAAATTGAAAAGCAGGTAAATTCGTTAGTGACATTACACAGTTACAATTTATGATATAGATCAACTTCCCTCAGGTAGTTCAGTATCAGATGAGCGCTCACGCTGGAGAACAGATCTTTTAGATTGGTTGCGTGATAATGCAAGTCCCTTGCAGATGTAAAGTCCACACAGTCAAGCAGAATATGCTTGACGGTGAAAGCCTCATCGCAGGAGAGACATATGGGGGGTCCATCCCCATCCGTTTTTAGCAGATAGTCATGTATAAATCGACTGTGGCCAATACGACATCGTCGTAAAATTACTTCATCACGTCTTGACTGACAACCCAAGTAGGTATAACCAATTGTTGGTTTCGATTCATTGAGTTTGTTTCTTCCTACTTGAGGTGTACTAGCTTGTTTACATTACGTGTATGGGGTGGACAGCGCCAGAATATCCAGTCACAGGATGAGGCTAAAATTAGATTCTACTTCCTGGTTGGTCGGACTACCTTCAATCCAAAGGTGCACATGCCATACGCAATGTAAGTAAAGTTTTTATTGATGAAGTATTATATTTCTTCATTCTGTATGTACGGTGTATGGTGGAAATGGCATATTTAAGCCATCTCTTAGGTCAGTTACACTCACTATGTGACGACATAATCATTACATGCAGAATACCTGCTGGATTCCCAAATATTTGTAACAGTCGTTATGTAACTTATACATTTGTTAATCAAATAGTTTACTTCCTTAATCAGGGAATATGTTATGAAAACGTAAGGTAATGTGTATTGTTTAATCGACGACACCTGCAGTCAGGCGTCCATTATCATATGTTCACAATCCACCATAGCTACTATCGGAGCACACCTACACGGAACGCGGTATTTGGGTCACACTTGTGTGTATATAGCTGGTGGTAAGAAGCAGTTTTTGCCTGTCGCATTTTGCACTCATATATTAAGGCATGTCTTGTTTGTCTAGGCATTTAGATGAGGACACGCTAACTGAATAGACAAATAAACGTATTTGTTACTTAAGATATCATTCAATGTAAGTGATTACTGATCGGTGTTATGTCCCTGGACCATATATTATTTGTGTAACCAACCGGGATCTGTTTCTGTTTGGACATGTAAACTTCTCCTAATTATAACCTTTTCTGTATACAAATAACTCTGCACTTTAGTTTGCAACAATTACTTTGCACGTATGCATACACATGGAACTTCATCCAGCAACCCCTTCCATAGTTCATCATGGTGATGTAGCTTTCGATGATGATTATAAATGTAGTACGTTTAGCCATTCGAATTAACAATCCGCTTACAGGCACTACTGCCCTTCTAGACGTATGAAACTACTGTTGATATCACTGTTTTAAAACGCGAGGGAGAGTATCTAAATACCGTGGGTATAGTTTCACCACAATCTAAGACACATAACTGGTACTACTTACTACTGTCCGACTGACGCACCACTGTACCTATTGAATTGTAATGTACCGTCGCATCAGCATTTTTTGTCACATAGGGGAACAATCATCCTTCAATAACGCAAGCTCCTTGGCAGAGGCTTTGATAAAACTGAGTTTCTTCATAAGATTAGAACTTCGTTCAGAGAACTATGTCGTCACACGAGACAGTTCAGTAAACCAAAGTTCTTTATATATATCATATCTACCCATAATTAGCCTCTGGCCATAATAAAGAGTCAAGGTTACATGAGTGGTGAATCGTGATGGACAGTCAAAGTTAACTGCAGAGACATCTAGACTACTCAAAACAAGTTAGGGAACGCTGATATGTTTTCACTTGAAACCAACAGGAACAGAAAACAGAGCCATGTGTGGTAAATTCATTATTTACTAAGTATACAGGGGTAATTGCATCAACAATTTCATGAACAATCCATTTCATTTCATAACGTGAACACGTGGTAATGTCAATAATGTCATTGGGGTCAAAACCGAAAACCAAGGCTCTGAGAGAAAAGTCAGTAATAAGTGTGACCACTCCTAACCGCCACACATGCAACACAACGACGCCTCGTGGAGTTCACTAATGTCTGTGGTGTGTTCTGTTGGAAGAGCCTGCCACTCCAGTCTCAGTATTGAGCAAGCTCACGCAGATCTAGAGGTGGAGGGCGGTTCTCGATACCCACCGATCGTTAGCAAAAATAAGACTACACCATTACAACAAGAGATTGTGACCCTGGAACGTTTCAGATGATGAGCCGCAAGTGATGTAACCCAACGTGCTGAAACCTTGGTCACGCCACTTTCATCATTGGCTCTGCTATAAGTAAGACCTACCGCTATGGCAATATGATACACTTTTAGGAATGAGAGCTGATGGTGTACACGGGGTACAGGCTCACATGAGATAAAGATATTGACAGAGATAAAAGCAAACACCAAGGTTCTTTCACAAAACTTTCAAATCTCGGAACATAAAGTTGAAAATATCTCGGCAATAGATTTGGTGATTTTCAATGCCGAAAGATAAGAGATAATCATATTTTTCATGGAATATATGTGAGTAGGGCGAAACGAGGATAAACGCACCTATCGTCGTTTAGATTATCACCTCGCGTGACAAAAGTGACAAAAGTAATGTTTGCAAACAGGCCCATCACCGGGGATTCGCTACACCAGAGAAGTCAAGCTTGTCATATCACGTACTTTGGTTTACTGAAGCGCAGAAGGATGGACAATGACCAAACGTGAAGGTCATTAAGCTGCTAATCGGTTTGATACAGGAGCAAAAACACATTCCAAAGCAAACCAACCAATCACACAAAGGGCAAGGTGTCTGAATGATTCTTGTTAGGAGATGGAGCGGGTTTCACGTGTCCTTTGTTTGGATCCGGAAATAGAATAGATCAGGCGGAGGTCACTCCAAATCACGGAAGCAACAACAACCGTGTTGGACTGACTGAGTCTAGCGTTACGCCCTTTTTTAGCAATATTCCAGCAATATCACGGCGGGGGACACCAGAAATGAGCTTAACACATTGTGCCCATGTGGGTAATCGAACCCGGGTCTTCGGCGTGACGAGCCAACGCTTTAACCACTAGGCTACCCCACCGCCCCACAACCGTGTTGGAAGTGACGTCGAAGTTTGTTCATCTTATTATGATATTTCTTTGGACTACATTGAAATCACATAGGAACAGCAGGTTGAAGGATGTGTTATACCAATAATCGTTTATGATCCTTAGGGAAGTGACAAGACACAACCAGCAGACACCCCATTATAACCCGCAGGGAAGTGACCTTGCCGTGTCTTCAGAGATTAACTCCACGCGCTCTTTTGCTTCATTAGACTTTGGAAGTCTAGAAGGACAGCTGCATCCATATTGGCTTTCACTGCTCTGTACTTGATGTCAGAGTTGTACGATACAAGGGCAGCTACCCATTGGTGTCCTGTGGCATCCAGCTTGGGACATGTAAAGATGTAAGTGAGCAGTGAATGTCTGTCTATAAAGTTAGTCATGGAATTTCTCACAATGGCCCATATCAAGTAAAGAATCTCAGGTTTATGAGCAGAACAATGGCGCCCTGATTTGGTGAGTTTCCTGGTGGCGTAAGCAATTAATCGTGGGTGCCCATCCTCTTCCTGATATTATAAAATACAACAATGTGTCAATATCACGTGTAGAGGCATTGTCCATAACAGACAGAGCTCGATAACTGCCTGACATGACTGAGTAACAGATTGTCCAGGAACTTTCCCAGCAGCCTGTGACAGGTTCATTCATGAACATATGAGTTTTAGTTTCCAAACACATACATTATTCATCACACTCTTATCCAAAACCAGAAGATGCCGCAGCACCAAATCCAAAAGCAAGCAATTCGTTTCTCACATTACATAGTTACAATTTATGATACACATCAACTTCCCTCAGGTAGTTAATAATGAGATGCAAGCCCACACGGGAAAACAGATCTTTCAGATTTCTCGCATCATAATGTGAGTCCCTTGCAGTCGAAAAGTCCACACAGTCAAGCAGAATATGCTTGATGGTGAACACTTCATCACAAGAGACACACATGGGAGGTCCATCCCCATCCGTTTTCAGCAGATAGCCATGTGTAAACCGACTGTGGCCAATACGACATCGTTGTAGAACTATCTCATCACATCTTGAATGACAACCCAAGTACGTATAACCAATTGTTGGCTTCAAGTCATTAGGTTTTTCTCTTCCCACTTGGGTGTTTCACCTTTTTTTGCATAAGGTCCCGAGTATAGCTTTTGATAGTGGGTTTGAAATCACTATACGGGATCAGCAGTAAAGATAAGGGCTTGTCAAGAGGTGCTTTAGCTGCAGCACCGGCCTTTCTGTTACCTGCTATGCCGATGTGACCCTGCAACCAGCAGAGGACAATGTCGCATTGGTCAGTACAAAGATCGTTGTAAAGTTCCAAGATGTCCAGGATGATAGGATGACTTGAAGAAACATTTTGAAGTGCTTGAAGGCAAGATAATGAATCTGTAAAAACGATGAAGTTTTTGGAATGGCTCTGTTGTTTGATATAGGTCAAAGCTGTGAAGACAGGCATAGCGTGACCAGCGGATTGGTAGAATCGGGCCTATTCTACCACCCATCAAGACAAAGTTAGTGTCGAAGTGGTGTGTTGGATCATTTAACACTATTGCCGGTTCCGTCATTCTCAACCACCAGACTCCCTTCCTCTGCCGACACAGGGATGCAACCCACGGCAAAGGGGGCGACCAAATTGATCTATTCGACCCCGGGTCCACACGGGGGCGAAGAGCCATTGATGTTACCCAGCACCCACCGCGAGGAGGTTGCTCTTCAACGGTGCCTGGGGCATACAAAGAACAGAACAGTATTAAGTGCCCCACAGTCACATGAATTAAATATCAGTGAAAATATTGGGACTCACTAGAGCCTGTATCCTGTCATACCACGGGCTGCACTGATAATGTTATACTATTATGTTGACAGTGTTAATGTATCATATATAGTTATGACCAGTGACCACATTACTGTCAAACTAAGTACATGAGAGCGTTGATTGTTATCCCGTCAGGCTTGGATATATTCCATTTTGCCTATGTTGTCTTCAAACACTCAAACACAAGTACGAATACACCTTTTTCAAAACAAGAAAATGTGAGTATTCGATACTCGTGATCACAAATAACAAATGGAAGTGATGAAATAACATGGTTTGATTCACTGAATACACGAGTGAATCATAACGGCCCCAGTTAACAGATACAGTTTAATGTCATTACAACAGTGTTCAGAAATATATTATACCGCCATATAGTATAGTTTTTCATCTCAAACATGAAAAAGTGTTGGATTTTTTTCCCTTGCAACATATAAGTCCCTCTATTTTGTATTCATTAAGGTAACTTATCTACTTCTTTCTTTCAGCTGTGTTTCAAAAATGCTGAAATATATTTACTTGGCAAGTTTTGTACAAATATGCTGTGGTAAGTATTGCTTTATATCTGTTCATTAGAAACTATCTGACAGAAGTAACAGATTGTAACTCTATTGTTCCATAACAGTTTAGATTTACCAAGCTCCTGCATGACATCGTCCCACGTATCCACATATATACAGCATGTGTATTGTTGTCTGCCTTCATGTTTGTTGATCAACTTCTGTGCATAGCAATCGGTGAAATGTATTATTGTATGAACAATGGGTAATTTGTTTTAAAAAAATAACTTTTACTTGAAGTCATCGATAGTTAGTTGGTCAGTAGTTGGTCAGTAGTGTCGCATCGGTCACTGTTTTGACAATCGAATTCACATTCTGAAGTTTATTGTGCTCAGATCAACTTTATCGGAAATTGACTTTTTCACGCCGAAATCATCATGTCACAAACTGTGCTTGCAGTGTCAGAAATCGGCCCGCCACTGTGCTTCATGGCTTACAGCACAAGCCACACGGGACCTGCCTTCAGTCCCTGCGTATAAGTCATAAACGGCAAAACCCACTAGGAAAAAGCCCGCTCCGCCGGAGCACACTTATAGTGAAGGGAGCAGTGGTCTTACTATCTACTCAGGACACATTGAGCGTATTTAATTCCCCTGTTTGTTTTTCCTGGTCCCCAAGAAAGACACGGACGACATGAGGATGATTATAGATCTAAACATTTTGAAAAAAAACTATCTTACGAACCTTCAGAAGTTCAAGATGGGGTCCTTATGAAATATCCGCTCACTCATTCATCAGGATGCCAAGTTTGTCAGTCTTGATCTCAGGTACGCTTATCTTCTATACCAATTCATCTTCAATTCGAGAAGTATGTGTGGTTTGCTGTTATACCTACTTGGGTTGTCAGTCAAGACGTGATGAGGTAATTTTACGACGATGTCGTATTGGCCACAGTCCATTTACTCATGACTATCTGCTGAAAACGGATGGGGATGGACCCCCCCATGTGTGTCTCTTGCGATGAGGTTTTCACCATCAAGCATATTCTGCTTGAATGCCTGGACTTATCGTCTGCAAGGGACTCACATTATGATGCAACAAACCTGAAAGATCTGTTCTCCCGCGTGAGCGCTCATCTGATAGTGAACTACCTGAGGGAAGTTGATCTGTATCATACATTGTGAAATGTGACAATCATAAATTGTAACTGTGAAATGTGACTAACAAATTGCCTGCCTTTAAATTTGGTGCTATGACTTTTCTGCTTTTAAAATACAATGTAATGAATATATGTTTTTTAAATAAAACTCATTCCGAGTATGTACTTACAATGTTTATTAATGCAAACTTGTTCTCGTCACTATATGGCTGGAATAGTGCCGATGTGACGCTAAATCCAACTAAATTCAACCCAAGTTGTCAAGACTGCCACTCGGGCCTCTCTAAGGCTACACCCTTTAACACTTTACCCAAGGTCTCTCATGGACCGATTTATACTGTGCACAATAGACATATTCTGGGTAATTCACCAAACCTGGATAGAGACTTTGATCTGCTGCAGGATTCTAGGGGCTCCGTGGAGTCGCCCTTCTCATGCTCTTCTCATGGATGTTAAGGAGTTTGACACTGCAACCCGGCCATCCATAGGCATTTTCTCTTACGCAAGTTGGTTTGCGGCAGGGGTTCACTCGCTCCTCCCGACTCTCTTTCAAGATTACACAGGCGTCAAGAAAGACACTTTAGTCTCCATGTCTGTATAAGAGGTTGCTATGGCACATTGTCTTCTGTGTGTAATTTGGCGGATGCTACTCACAACCAGATCTTGGGCCGACATACAGCAATGAATAGAACCCATAAACTGAACTCTGCCAGAAACCTCCCAGCCGGCAAAGAAGCTATTGTTTGTTAAATGGCCAATGTCAGCAGGCCATAGAAGCCCGGGATGATCAGCACACCACACAAGCCCAGGATGCCTTAACCACACGCAATCTTAACCACAGGCTAGCCTCTGCCCTCCTGAGCCAAATCAGGCTTGTAGGTCAAGAAAGGAACCGTCTTCAGCGTTCAGCTTTCGGTAGAGCTACAGACTTGAGATCTCAAGGTTCATGTAACCCTAGTTCCAGATGCTCAACCTCTTCTAGGGGCAGGGGTAGGGGTGGTAGGACCTTCACTGTCTCAAGTCCTACCGCCAACAAATTTTGACTTATATCTCAGGACTCCTTCTACTCATCCTTGCGAGCCGGAAATGTCCATCGATTTGGAAACAGGATTCGATCTTGTCCCACCTTTTACCCAGTCCCCCCATCGGGTGGGTGGGTTTGTTGGGGTGGCTGGGCTGCCTGTAGCATTACATTGAGAACTGGAGACTAAGTACTTAGGATAGGTGGATCCTATCAGGTATAGAGAGAGGTTACAGTCTTCCCTGGGACACCAGCCCTCCCGTGACTTGCTTCCCGACTGGTTGGCGATGTTTTTCTGCAGGGGGAACGTCTGGATCAGTATCAGGTACAGGGCCTGTGAACTCTTTAAGAAAGCTCCCATATCACCATTCTTCGGATTTTTGGGATTGTCTAGGCGCTCTCCCATTGAGAGAGCTTGGCCACTCCACTGGAAGAGTATCATGCTGGTCACGGACAATTCTGCTGTAGTAGCATATTTCAACAAGCAAGGGGGAACCAGGTCATGGTATCTGCTCCTGATTACGTAACGCCTAACTACCATAATCATATCCCATGCCGTATCAACATCCTTGCCGATTTGCTTTCCAGACAAGACAGGGTTATTTCCATTGGTTGATGAGTGAGTGAGTTAAATTTAAAGTCACTTTGGCAATATTTCAGCCATATCGTGACTAAGTCAAGTTATAGACTAATACTAATTAAAGGACAGTTATAGAAACCTGTCAACGTAGGACAGTAATATAAATCAACTAGACAATCACAGATAGAAAATGTAAAACTAGTAATTAAATCTAAAACATTTTAAATATATATGACAATACAATATTTTAAATTAAAATTTACTTTGAATATTTTGGGACTTACGTATACTAATTTTACAGTACTTTAATCCCCTTGAGGATACAGCCGCTAACAAACAGAGTTACTAATTTAAACTTCCAAACACACACATATTTATCTGTTTACAAATCATTTAACAAATCTACTGAGTCAAAAAAGAAACTTTACATTCTTTCTTCAGGGCACTATAAAAGAACAAGAGATGGTAAGATGGTTAAATTGTTATTATTTCATTGCTGAGATCTGTGTGATGTACTCGATATACTGACAGTGCCATAATCAGTTCCATTAGGCTACATCGCCTTTCAAAACATGGGTATACAGAATGTCAAGTCACAAGAATAAAAATGTGAAATTTCTCAGTTCAATATCATGTATGGCCGCCCCGCGCATTCATAAGTGCCAAACACCGTCTCCTCATCGACTGCCTGATGCTTGTGAACACGTGGTTGGGGATTCCGCGCCATTGCTCCTGCAAAGCAGCAACTAGGTCCTGCAAATTCTGAGGTTGGTTCCTAAGACCACGAAGCCTTCTCCCAAGTGCATCCCAAACGTGCTCTATTGGATTAAGGTCAGGGGACCTCGATGGCCAGTCCATGACGTTGATTCCAGCGTTTTGAAGGAAATTTCGTGTCAACATCGCGGTATGCGGCCGAGCATTATCATGCTAGAACTGTAGACCTGGGCCATGAGCTGCCATGAAAGGAACGAGTTCAGGGGTGAGCACCTGGTCGTGGTAAGCAGCATCTGTGAGGTTTCCACGGATGACCAGAAGTCGCCCGCGAATCTGAGGGTAAACCTGGATTCATCGCTAAAGACGACTCGATTCCAGTCTCTCTGGGTCCATCGGAGGTGACGTTGGGCCCAAAGCAGACGTTGACGGTGATGAAACGGCGTCAATATTGGCCCACGATATGGACGTCGAGAATGGAGATTGGCATCCCGCAACCGATTTCGAATGGTCTGTGAGGACAGTCGACCTCTAAACATCGGCGGAAATCTGTCACGTAGGTGACGTAGGACGATTTGACGGTCTTCTGCTCGTGACGTCACACGTGGACGACCCGAGCTTGGCCGATCAGGAGTGGTGCCAGTTTGTTGTAGACAACCTCACAAGTCATACATATGAAAAACAAAACCTGATTTGGCACTAACATCATTTGCACGACGAATGGATGGCTTTGAGTGGGTTTTGCTAACGTTTTTCTAGAGTCGAAAGATAGGGATCCCATTTCGTATACATAGATGTATCATCAGAAAAAATATTCTTTATTTTTCAAATTACATTTTGTGAAGTTTTTTTTTACTCAGTATATTTCTTTTAAAAATGCAATAACTAAATGAGAACTTATATTATTTAAAAGATCCTTCATGGTTCGTGATTTGAAATAGTTATCCCTTGTGATGGAATATTCAACACAATCAAGCAAGACATGCTTGAAGGTGATTCTTTCATCACAAGGGATGCAAAACGGAGGATCCCCACCTTTCAATAGGTATTCATGAGTATATCTTTTGTGGCCAATCACGGATATAAGATCTAATGGTAGCTGTATAATCAATGTAAGAAGTAGTGTCACAGATGTGCTGAGTGCTGACTTGGCAGCAAGATCGGCCATTGTGTTACCAGAAATGCCAACGTGGCTGGGTAAGCAAAGGAGGATGATGTCGTATTAACCAGTAGCAAGATCATTATACAATTCAATCATTTCAATGAATGTGGATGTTTGCAAGAAAGAATTTTAATATCCTGAAGGAACGAAAGATAGTCTGAAAAGATTATACATTGTGTATATTACATTATAGATATTACTGCGCCATCATCCTTGGACCCATCTGTTAACAAGGATTTATATGTATTATATTTATTTCTTAATTGACAAAATTCGTGTTTATACTGCAATTCATTAGTTTACGACTTTTTAAATGTGGTTAATGTTAAGAAAACGTTTGGCCTAAACAACTTCCAAGGAGGAGAAGAAAGAAGACGGGAAGGAGATGTATTCTCCAGCTCAATGCTGGCAGCT